ACTGAAGACTAGATTGTAGGAAGGCAAAAACAGAAGCATGTAGAACAACCAATTACAACATCTATTGTGGACTAGAATGGTTGTAGTAGAGATGCTGAGAATTGGATAGATTTAGGTTACCTTTTGAAGAGAGAGGCAACAGAGTTTCCTGAGGAATTGTGTGTAAAATGTGAGAGATAAAGAATCAAAGGACAACCTGAACAACTGTAAGAATCCATGTGCCATTTAATGAGATGAAGAGGTATGCAATAGGAGTAGCTTTTGGAGGTAGAAAATAAGTCTGAAATGCATGTTGAATATTTTAATAGATATGTTGAATAAGAAGTCAGATATACGAATATGAAAATCAAAGAAATCAGGGCTGGATATGGATATTTGGAAGCCATCAGCGTTGTGATGCCATATAACAGTGAAGGGAGTGGATTGGATAACCTCAAGAATAAAGGCAGATAAAGAAGGGAACACATCTCAGGCACATTAACATCTAGAGGTCAGGAAGAATCCAGCAAAGGAAAATCAAAGAGCTCTGTAATTTCACAAATATCAAATGAAGAAAGTGTTTCAAGTTTTAAGAAGGAGGATGTTAAATTGTGTTAAATGCTGCTGAATGGTTACAATAAAGACTGAGTTGTCCACTGGATTTATCAGAATTGTTTAAATTCTCAGATATCTGGACACAAACTCTTCTTTAGCTCTAACATTTAAATTAGTTCAGAAGTCTCACATTCAAGTGTGCATAAGAACTAAAGATCTAGAGTATAAGCATAACTTTATGTATTCTGACTTTGTGAGCCATTTAGGGGATTTTCATAGTTATTTTTTATCATTAGGGATTTTTATCATAAAGGCTCAGTTTAGAAACAAATCTCTGTTAGGGATGCAGCTACAGCTTTCTACAGCTGTTTCCAGCCTATCCAGTTACTATTCAAGAGATTAGAAAAAGATCACGGTCACAGAGCCTATCCTTTACATATTTCCTCTTTGTTGTTTTATCTTTACAGAGCTCACAAGAAAGCTCACACTATTTTTATTCTCTCTTTCCATAAAGGAATGGTGAGAAGAAATTTAAAGGAAAGACACTAAGTAGAAAATGGAAAGGTTCTATAGGGCTAAACTGAAGAAAACTGGTATCTGTACTACTTAAAACTCATCACCTATTCCTGATGATTTGAGTAGTATGACAGAGACTTAATTATCATTTGTCTTTTCCTTTGCCTACCACCTCTCATCCAAATAAAACTTATATAGAAAATATAATGTGAAATGTGAAATATTGTATAGTAAAGAATTTGGCCTTTCCTAAAGAGAGTTCTGGCCTGTGGCCTCAGATACTGGGAAATAACCTATCACATCTGATAAAAGTGTCTTTGTTTAGGAAAACTGCCTATGTCCAACAGTTTTACTGTAGAGGCTACCCATGCTAGAAAGACCAACCACATGACTTAGAGGCTTTGGGTCGTGTATCATCTGACCTGGAGACTGGGTTCCATATGGGCAATGGATCAGTGATGCCTCCATAATGGAGCCCCTCAAAAATTCTGAATGTTGAAGCTCTGGTGAGCTTCCCTGACTATTCCCATTTAGAAAAATAAGTGCAGCTCACTGCCAGTGCTCATTTAATTTTACATAAACATGCTCTTTGAGGCTGAAGCAAATCTGACTGATTTTCTATGTGAAAAATTAAATATGAAAACTGTTCTTGGAGTTATTTCTAAATGGAACTAACATCAGAATAGTCTGAATCATCAGAATCGTCTCTTTCAGAAAAATCGGATTCATCAATTGAATCTTCAGCCAACAACTGTTTGAGAATGATGTTAACATCATGTGTAGAAATGCTACGTTTTCTAGGATTTGACATTTTCAGCAATAGAGAATTACTATATTTGCAAATGGAAATGCCACTACTAAAATCCGAATACTATAAATAGAATGTCTTTTGTTTCAAAAGTTGATATACTAGAGTGACTGAAAATAATAATAAAAGCAAGATATTTCATGGCAAATGCATTAGTCCATTTTCATGCTGCTGATAAAGACATACCAAAGACTGGGCAATTTACAAAAGAAAGAGGTTTAATGGACTTACAGTTCCACATGGTTGGGGAGGCCTCACAATCATAGTGGAAGGTGAAAGGCACATCTCACATGGCAGCAGAGAAAAGAAGAGAACTTGTGCAGGGAAACTCTTCTTTTTAAAACCATCAGATCTCATGAGACTTATTCACTATCGCAGTAACTAACAGCAGGGAAAGACCTGCCCTCATGATTCTATTACCTCCCACTGGGTCCCTCCCATAACACATGGGAATTCAAGATGAGATGTGGGTGTGGGCACAGCCAAACCATATCATTCTGCCCCCGGCCCCCTCCCAAATCTCATGTCCTGCTATTTCAAAACCAAGCCAACAGTCCCCCAAAGTCTTAACTAAGTTTAGCATTAACTCAAAAGTCCACAGTCCAAAGTCTCATCCAAGACAAGGCAAGTGCCTTCAGTTTATGAGCCTGTAAACTTAAAAGCAAGTTAGTTTTTCCTACATACAACTGGGGTACAGCCATTGCGTAAATACAGCCATTCCAAATGGGAGAAATTGGCCAAAACCAAGGGGTTACAAGGCCCATGCAAGTCCAAAATCCAGCAGTTAGTCAAAACTTAACAGCTCCAAAATTATCTCCTTTGACTCCATATCTCACATTCAGATTACAATGATGCAAGAGGTGGGTTCCCATGGTCTTGGGCAGTTCTGTCCCTGTGGCTCTGGAGGGTACAGTCTCCCTCCTGGCTGCTTTCATGTACTGGCATTGAGTGTTTGCAGTTTTTCCAGGCACATGGTACAAGCTGTTGGTGGATCTACCATTCTGGAGTCTGGAAGACAGTGGCCCTCTTCTCAAAGCTCCACTCGGCAGTGCCCCAGTAGGGACTCTGTGTGGGGGCTCTGATCCCACACTTCCCTTTGACACTGCCCTAGCAGAGGTTCTCCCAGAGGGCCCCACCCCTGTAGCAAACTTTTGCCTGGGCATCCAGGTGTTTCCATACATCCTCTGAAATCTAGGTGGAGGTTCCCAAACCTCAATTCTTGATATCTGTGCACCCATAGGCTCAAAATCATGTGGAAGCTTCCAAGGCTTGGGGCTTCTACCCTCTGAAGCAAAAGCCCATGCTGTACCTTGACCCTTTTTAGCTATGGCTGGAGTGGCTGGGATGCAGGGCACCAAGTCCCTAGACTGCACACAGCAGAGGGACCCTGGGCCCCACCCATGAAATCATTTTTTCCTCCTAAACCTCTGGGTCTGTAGTGGGAGAGGCTGCCACAGAGGTCTGTGACATGGCCTGGAGACATTTTCCCCACTGTCTTGGTGATTAACATTCGGCTTCTCATTACTTATGCAAATTTCTGCAGCCAGTTTGAATTTCTCCTCAAAAAATGGGATTTTCTTTTCTACATTGTCAGGCTGCAGTTTTCCAAACTTTTATACTCTGTTTCCCTTTTAAACTGAATGCTTTTAACAGCATCCAAGTCACCTCTTGAATGCTTTGCTGCTTAGAAATTTCTTCTGCCAGATACACTAAATCATGTCTCTCAAGTTCAAAGTTCCACAATTCTCTAGGGCAGGGGCAAAATGCTGCCAGTCTCTTTGCTAAAACATAACAAGAGTCACCTTTGCTCCAGTTCCCAACAAGTTCCTCATCTCCATCTGAGACCACCTCAGCCTGGATTTCATTGTTTATATCATTATCAGTATTTTGGTCAAAGCTATTCAATAAGTCTCTAGGGAGTTCCAAAGTTTCCCACATTTTCCTGTCTTCTTCAGACCCAAACAGATCCAACATACTCAAGACTGGGCAATTTACAAAAGAAAGAGGTTTAATGGACTTACAGTTCCACATGGTTGGGGAGGCCTCACAATCATGGTGGAAGTTGAAAGGTACATCTCACATGGCAGCAGACAAGAGGAGAGAACTTCTGCAGGGAAACTTCCCTTTTTAAAACTATCTGATCTCATGAGATGTATTCACTATTACAAGAACAGCAGGGAAAGACCTGCCCCCATGATTCAATTAACTCCCACTGGGTCCTTCCCACAACACATGGGAATTCAACATGAGATTTGGGTGGGGACACACCAAACCATATCAGCAAAGCAATCTCAAGGTAAATGCTGCAGCTGCAAGTGCCACTCGCAAATATTCTTGGGGCAAACAGGAAAAGGGTTACTGGAATTCTACATTGCATATTGTCAAGCGTGGATTTTGGGAGAGTAACATGTCTTGACTCCACTGGGAGAGTACAGCAAATAATGGGAGAGTACAGCAAAAGTGATGTGTTTGGTACCCTCCTGGACACCGCCTTACGTGCTTCTTCCCTTGGCTGATATCAGTCTGTATTCTTTCCTTGTGATAAATGGTAACTGTAAAGATAACAACTTTCAGTGAGTTCTGTGAGACCTTCTAGCAAAATTTCAAACTTGAGGGTGTTTCTGGGAACCCTCCAAACTTGCAGTTGGTGTCAGAAATGAGGGACGCCTTGGAGACTGTGCCCTCAAACCTCACAGGTTGTCTAACTCTAGGTAAATATATCAACCTACAAATTGTCTCCATCACAAACTAGAGGCTGCTTTATGTTTTCCGTTTGAAATTCTCTTAAAGTATGTTTTGAACATTGATATGTTATCTTTTCTCATTAAAAAAAAAATTCCAGGCATAATGAAAAGTGTGTTCTTGAGTCTAACTCAGCTTTTTTTCCCTAGCTTCTAGATGGAAAACACAAGTGATAGGGGGTTGATTTCAAGTAATAATCATTTTATTGGAAGGGTCATTAGAAATTAGTTGGTTATATGATTCTACTTTTTGGGTTTTGAATATAAACTGAATCTAGAAGGCAGAACTTGTTGTAATTACTATGCCACACTTCACACATACTGTCTTAGTCCATTTTCTGCTGCTGTAAGAATACCACAGACTGGGTAATTTATAAACAAAAGAAATTCATTTGACTTACAGTTCTGGGGACTGCGAAAGTCCAAGATCCAGAGGCTGCATCTGGTGAAGGTCATTTTGTGGCAGAAAGCATCACATGAGGAGAGAGGCTGAGACAAAGTAGTGACAGTGCACAAGACAGAGAGAAAATGGGGGCCAAATTTATCCTTTTATCAGGATCCTACCCCCATGATAACTAATCCACTCCCACAGTAATGGCATTCATCCCTTCATGAGGGCATAGCCCCTATGGTCTAAATCACCTCTTTAAAGCTTCACCTCTTAATATTATTACAATGGCAATTACATTTCCAACACATGAATTTTTAGAGAACACATTCAACCCACAGCACATACCTGCTTGGGCTTGGGCAAGGGCAGGAATGTTACTTGATTCTCCAAATTTAAGTCAGCATCCAGACCTCGCTCTAATAGAGTTGGTTAATTTGGACACAGCTTTGCCCTTAGCATCTAATTAAGAATATTTTCCTTAATGGATATTCTTGAACTGCCAAAATGTTGGCACTGAGCCCTAGTCATGATAAGTAGGTTTACATTTTATTTTTAACTTAAATGAACAACATGTAGTCTTGATAGAATTTTTGGAGGTGTCCGTCTGCTGTATGTCACTGAAATAATTTGATGTGAAGGGTCGGAGTAGATTGATAAAAAGATAGATTCCAAAGGAAGTGGTCTGGAATAGGAGGAGGATATGCCAAATATGGTATAGGAACATTTCTTTGATCATCCTAGTGATCAAAGATGGACCAGCTGTTAGCCAGGAGGGAACAAATTTCCTTTCCTTTTTCCTCGTCTTAGTAGCATTTTAAAGTGCAAGAGAAGAGAGGTGGGGAGAGAAACTGAAGTTTCTGGCTTCCCTAGAGATGTATAAATTAAAACTATAAATAAACTAACTTGTACAGTTTAGATGACTATGGTTACAATGAGGGGAAATTTTTGTACTTATACCGTGTAGTCATCATTGTAATGGTTTCTGCTACGCTACACATGGGCTGTTGTAATTCTAACAAAACATCTAAGCCCACACACAATTTTTGTTGCTTTCCCTCCTTTCTCCTCACAGATATGCAGAAGATATTTTTTGTGGTCAGCTGAGGCAGGAGTTTACCACTTAGGGTAGAGTAAGGAGAGAAAAGGACTCACTCTGTTTTAGCACATAACCTCCTCATTCTTGATTTTGACATCTTAGGCAGGATTGGACTTGAAAGGATATTTACTCATTGGCTGTTGTCATATAGCATATTAGTTTCTTTTGCCGAAAAATCACTCCAAAATTTACTGGCTTAAAGTAACAAGAATCATTTTCGTTCCCTCTAATTGTTTCTGTGGGTCAGGAATTCAGAACTGGGCACAGTGGGGATCGTTTGTCTTTGCTTTATTAAATTTGGGACCCCAGCTGAAAGACTCTATGATAGGAACAATCTGAAGGCTCATTCATTCCCATGTAAGTACAGCTGGAATTGTAGGCTGAAGCACCCTTATATTTGTTCAATAGTTTACTATTGAACAAAGTACCTTCCCCTAACCCTTGAGTGGGCCTCTATCCTGGAAACATTGAAAGGTCCTGTTACTCATCTCTTGACCAATCTCCATGTTTTATGTAAAGATTGGTATATTCTCTTTTTATTCAATTTTCATTAGTTTTCCCACTTATGTTCTATTTCTGTTTCAGGATCCCACATTAAAGTTGGTCTCTTTAGGCTCCTCTTGGCTCAGACAGTTTCTCAGACTTTCCTTGTTTTTCATGACTTTAACTGTTTGGAGTAGTACTGGTTAGGTATTTTGTCTGATGTCTTTCTCATGGTTAAACTGGGATTATACATTTTTGGCAGCCTTATCTTTTTAATATAATTTGTCACTGTTGCAAAAGTCTACCAAAATAAAAATGTTTCCCTCCTCTGTTCAACAGTCCTTCAGTTTCTCCAATTGTCTGCAGCAGAAATTCAAATTACTCAGGATGACATATAAAGCTTTTCAGAATCTGGCTGTTGCCTTCCTCTTCAGTATAAAGTGTCACTCTACAAACCATTCGAGTTCTTTCCCGAAATGAAGCCCTAACAGTCTTGCAATGCCCGAGATTCATTAAACAGACAAGGTAAGGTGACTACCATCAATGACTTTACATTTTAGGGGGGCAGGGTACATTTGCAAATAAATAAATGAATAGCATTCTACTTTTATGAAGGAAACAAGAAAGGAGTGGAGATTAAGAAGTACAAACAGTGTGGGAGTGAAGTATACTTTAGAGAGTCTGGGATCTTCTCTTTGAAGAACATAACTGTTGGTTTACTTGCCAGCCACCAGACTTTCCTTCTCTTTAGCTGTCTCAGAGGAGAGAATGTCTAACTCAGCTTTGTTTCCCCAGCGTCTAGTTTAGCCTAATTCATTAAATTAACAGTTTTGGACTAAATAAATGCGCTGAGAGTACTATCTAAAAATTAAAAATCAGTTGCTACCATCCCTCTCCCCAGATTTATCCTTGAAATACCTTTCAAACCTGTTTCTGGAAAAAATATTAATATCCGTAAGAGTCCCATCTGCGTCAAGCATGATGAGAAAACTTTTGTCATTAGGATGCTAGTATTAACTTCCTATTTTACATGTTATAATTCAAAAGTAAATTTAATCTTGCAAATCTAGACCTCCCGGTTTTTCCGGAATTGAATGGACATGGTAAAGTCTGACACACTGTGAGTGGGGGAATGGGGAATTGGCTGTGAGGACATCCTCAGAATGGTTAAAATTCCGCGGGGAGAATGAGGCTTTAAGGTGGACTCGTCCTCTACCGCTACCCAGGCAGACTTCATAAAGAAGGGCGAGCAGAGTCCGCCAGTGCGTAAGAGGACTACTTAATTCACGTGGGCCTCTTTCTCCATGCCACTTAGTACCACAGGAACCTACCTGGGTCCCGCGCCCCGCCTATTTCCGGGTTGTCGCCGCCGCTGCCGTCGCGTGCGTAATGACGTGTCAGTCTCCTGCAGACCCCGGAAGTGCAACTCGAACTTGGTCGGGGCGCGGATCCCGAGAGGGAAAGTCATAACAACCGCACGAGGGAGTTCGACTGGCGAACTGGAAGGCCACGCCTCCTCCCGCCTGCCCCCTCAGCCCTGTAGCTGGGGGCAGAGCTCAGGTAGGACTGCCGTTTGCGGGGATGTGAGCTCCGGGGGCAGGCCCGGGTCGAAATCCGAGGAGGGTGCTGGCCTGAGTCGGGCTCAGGCGGGGGTCGCTGGCCCTGGGGCCCGAAGCTGTCAGGAACCACGCTGCATTCCCTGCGGACACCTCTGACTTGTGTCTGGGTCCCCGCTGATGGGCAGGTCCCATGTGCGATTTCCAACCTCCGGGCGGGAGCGACACGTGTGTTGCCTGGATGACTTTCCTTATATCGGGGCGTACGGGATTCTGGGAGTCCCTGGAGACAGAGTAATGGGCCCTCCTCCGCTTTCTTGGGAGTGGAGGTATTGTGGTTCTTGTATTAATTTTTTTTTTTCCTACAAAAAGTGTTATTAACTGCTAGCGCTTTACCAGAAGTCATTCGCTGCAGACGGATTAAAGTGCAGTTATAAAATGCTCTCAAAACTTGTAACATGCATGGGCGCGGGTGGGACGTTTCTCTGGGATGCAGTATGAATGTATGAATTAAGTGTTGAATACTTTTGACTTTGAAATAAAGTAAGTATGTTTTGGAGGCAGTCTTCTCTTTCCCTCATCCAGGTGTTTAACATATTCTTTTAGTGCTCCAGGGTCTGTATCTGTTGGGCCAAGAAACTCGTTATTTGTGTTTTGGATATGCTGTATTTAATGACATGCAATGTTGCATTTGTCCGTTTCTCCCAAATCCTCAAAAAAGCTGTAGAGGGAAAAATTCTCTGGTTTTTGTCTGCAATACAGGGAAAAATTCTCTGGTTTTTGTCTGCAAGTGCCTTGTATATTTATCAAAATATCAATGCGATTTTTTAATGCAGTACATGACATCGTTTGTATTAACTCATGCCGTATACTGCGTAACAAATATCGCATTGATAAGGTGTATTCTTTATCCTACAATGCGAGGGACAGTTACACTGTATACATTTAGCGAATGTAGAAACTGAGTAAGAGAGTATTTTTGGATCTGCTGGTACCAGGCTTCTTTCAGAATTTTCAACTAGGCCTTACTTCCACTTAACCAGTGAACCCTACACTGAAAAGTTAGGGTGCTGAGTAAGAGTATTTTTGGATCTGCTTCATTAAGGCCTCAGTGACAGTGCTGGTACCAGACTTCTTTCAGAATTTTCAACTAGGCCTTACTTCCCCTTAACCAGTGAACCCTACACTGAAAAGCTCTGGATGCTTTCCAGCTATGGCTGCTCCATATGGTAGAATAAATAGTACCAAGGCCAAGAGAGAAACCATGAGCATCCACCTATTTATTCATTTAGCAGATATTTACTGGCAACCTTCAGTGTGCGGGATAGTGTTCAGGTGCTGAGAAGACAGTCGTGAACAAAATAGAAAGTCCTTCTGCTCCTGGAACTTACATTCTAATGAATGGAGAAGTATAATTAACAAGTAAATACGTAACGAGTAGTGATTAAGAGCTATAGAGAAAGACTGGGTGCGGTGGCTCACGTCTGTAATCCTAGCATTTTGGGAGACCGAGGCTGGCGGATTGCCTGAGCTCTGGAGGTCGAGACCAGCCTGGGCAACATGGTGAACCCTGTCTCTACTAAAATACAAAAAAATTAGCCGGGTGTGGTGGCGTGCACCTGTATTCCCAGCTACTCTGGAGGCTGAGGCAGGAGAATTGCTTGAACCAGGGAGGTGGAGGTTGCAGTGAGCCAAGTTGTTCAGATCATGTGCCACATAATTTCTATTCATAATGAGTTCAATTGAGTAATTTGAGTGTGTAATTTAACAATGTCCAAAACTGTAAAAAAAATTGTAAGTGTAATCTGGTAAGAAGGAAGGACATTTTAAAAAATCTAGAATGTCCAATTGCCCATAAGTTCAAGGTAACAACGTCTTTTTTTTTTTTTTTTAAACTATTGAATGTTTTGTACACTGTCATAATTTATTAGATACTCTTGGGGGTGCTACGTTGAGCTATTTCAGTTATAAATCTCATTTAAATCCATTTCTTTGCTTTAGTTTAATGAATGAAAAATTGTATCACAATTTTATAACTCCTTGGCAAATTAAAATTGATTAATTTACTACAGATGAGATGGCAGATGACTGACTTACTCAAGGTTTCACAGCTAAGTTACAGAGAAATTAGAGACAAAAATGCTATGCTGCTTTCTCTAATATTGTTTGTTGTCTCCATTTGGAGGAAATGATCTCTTTTGTAATATACATAATTGAGATAATTTTTGCTTCAGAGAAAATAACACTGTCAAGACCATCAAAGTAAAGCATTACTGTATATTTCCATTTCTTCATATCAGATTTATTTATTTTTTTACTTGGAAATTGCTAAGAAACTAGATTTTATTTTATTTTTAAACTTTTATTCCTTTCTAACTTTTATTTTTATTTTAGTTCAGGGGGTACATGTGCAGTGACCAGATCGGTAGTTTTTCAATTCTCATCCTCTTCCCAACCTCCACCCTGAAGTAGACCCCATTGTGTACTGTTCCCTTTGTCCATGTGTACTTAATATTTAGCTCTCACATGTAAGTGAGAACATTTTGTATTTGTTTTTTTTTTCCTGCATTGATTCACATAGAATAATGGCCTCCAGCTCCATCCATGTTGCTGTAAAGGACATGATTTTATTCTTTTTTCTGGCTGTGTGGTGTTCCATGGTGTATACGTGCCACATTTTCTTTGTTCAGTCCATTGTTGATGGGTATGTAGGTTGATTCCACATCTTTGCTTTTTTGAATAGTGCTGTGATGACCATATGAGTACATGTTGTCTTTTTATTGGAATGATTTATATGCCTTTGGGTTTGTACCCAGGAATGGGATTGTTGAGTTGAATGGCAGTTCTTTCTGTTTTAGCTTTGAGAAATCTCCAAACTGCTTTCCACAGTGGCTGAAATTTACATTCCCCCCACCACTGTAAAAGCATTCACTTTTCTCCACAACCTCATCAGCAGCTGTTATTTTTTTTACTTTTTAATAACAGCCATTCCAACTGATGTGAGATGGTTCTTATTTTGGTTTTGATTTGCATTTCTCTAAAACTCAGTGATGTTGAGCATTTTTTCATATGCTTGCTGGCCATGTGTATATCTTGTTTTGAGAATTGTTTGTTCATGTCCTTTGCCCATTTTTTATGGGTTTTTTTTGCTTGTTAATTTGTTTAAGTTCCTTACAGATCCTGGCTATGGGACCTTTGTAGGATGCATAGTCTGCAAATTTTTTCTCCCATTCCGTAGGTTGTCTGTTTACTCTGTTGATACTTTCTTTTGTTGTGTAGAGGCTCTTTAGTTTAATTAGGTCTTTCTTTTCAACTTTTGTTTTTGTTGCAGTTGCTTTTGGAGTCTTCATATGAAATCTTTGCCAGGGCCTAGGTTCAGAATGGTATTGCCTAGATTTTCTTTTAGAGTGTTTATAGTTTTAGGCCTTACATATAAGTCTTTAATCCATCGTGAATGGATTTTTGTGTATGGTAAAAGGAAAGGGTTCAGTTTCAATCTTCTGCGTATGGCTAGGCAGTTATCCCAGAACTCTTTATTGAATAGGGAGTCCTTTTCCCATTGCTTATTTTTGACTTTGTCAAAGATCAGATGGTTTTAGGTGTGTGGCTTTATTTCTGGGTTCTCTATTCTGTTCCGTTGTTTTATGTGTCTGTTTTTTTTTTTTGTTTTTTTTTTTTCCCCCCAGTACCACGCTGTTTTGGTTACTGTAGCCTGGTAGTATAGTTTGAAGTCAGATAGTGTGATGCCTCTGGCTTTGTTCTTTTTGCTTAGGATTGTTTTGGGTATTCAGGCTGCTTTTCAGTTCCATATGAATGTTAGATATTTTTTCTAGTTCTGTGAAAAATGTAATTGGTAGCTTGATAGGAGTAGCATTGAATCTGTAAATTGCTTTGAGCAACATGGCCATTTTAATAATGTTAATTCTTCCTCTCCATGAGTAAGGAATGTCTTTCCATTTGTGCTGTTTCTGATTTCTGTAGCAAAGTTTTGTAATTCTCATTGTAGAGATCTTTCACCTCCCTGTTGAGCTGTATGCCTAGGTATTTTATTTCTTTTGTGGCTATTGTGAATGGGATTGCATTCTTGATTTGACTCTCAGCTTGGACGTTATTGCTGAAATGCTACTGATTTTTTGACATCGATTTTGTATCCTGAAACTATGTAGAAGTTGTTTATCAGATCTAGGAACTGTTGGGTAGAGAGAGTGGGGTTTTCTAAGTATAGAATCATTGTCATCTGTGAACAGAGATAGTATGACTTCCTCTTAATTTGGATGCCTTTCATTTGTTTCTCTTGCCTAATTGCTTTGGATGAAATTTCCAGTGCTATGTTGAATAGTTGTGGTGAGAGTGGGCATGCTTGCCTTTTTCCAGTTTTCAAGGGAAATGTCTCTAGCTTTTCCCTATTTAGTATGATGTTCGCTGTGGGTTTGTCATAGATGGGTCTTTTTATTTAACGTATGTTCCTTCAGTGTCTAGTTTGTTGAGAATTTTTAACATGCAGTGATGTTAAATTTTATCGAATGCCTTTTCTGCATATATTGAGATGATCATGTGGTTTTTGTTTTTAGTTTTGTTTATGTGTTCAATCACGTTTACTGATTTACATATGTTGACCCAACCTTGTATAACAGGAATAAAGCCATCTTGATCATGGTAGATTAGGTTTTTGATGTGCTTCTGGTTTTGGTGTGCTAGTATTTGTTGAGGATTCTTACATCTATATTCATCAGGGATATTGGCCTAAAGTTTTCTTTTTTCATTGTGTTTCTACAAAGTTATGGTATCAGAATGATGCTGGCTCCATAGAATGATTTGACGGGGAGTCCTTTCTTCTCAGTTTTTGGAATAGTTTAGTAGGGTTGTTATCCGCTCTTCTTTATATGTTGGGTAGAATTTGACTGTCAAGATGTCTTTTCCAGGGCTGCTTCTGGGTGTAGGCTTTTTATTACTGAATCAATTTTGAAATTCACTATTGGTCTGTTCAGGGTTTCAATTTATTTCTGATCAATCTTGGGAGGTTGTATGTTTTGAGGAACTTATCCATTTTCTCTAAGTTTTCTAGTTTGTGTAGGTAGAGGTGTCCATAATAGTCTCCGAGGGTTTTTTTGTATTTCTGTGGGGTCAGTTGTAATCTTCACTTTGCATTTCTGATTGTGTTTATTTGGACTTCTTTCCTTTTTTCTTTATTTGTCTACCTAGTGGTCTGTCAGTCTTATTCTTTCAGAGAACCACGTTTTGGTTTCATTGACCTTTTGTACAGTTTTTCATGTCTTAGTTTTGTTCAGTTAAGCTCTGATTTTGGTTTTTTCTTCTGCAAGCTTTGGGG